CGCGGTGGCTCAAGCCTGTAATCCCAGCACTTTGGGAGGCCGAGACGGGCGGATCACGAGGTCAGGAGATCAAGACCATCCTGGCTAACACGGTGAAACCCCGTCTCTGCTAAAAAATACAAAAAAACTAGCCGGGCGAGGTGGCGGGCGCTTGTAGTCCCAGCTACTCGGGAGGCTGAGGCAGGAGAATGGCGTGAACCCGGGAGGCGGAGCTTGCAGTGAGCTGAGATCCGGCCACTGCACTCCAGTCTGGGCGACAGAGTGAGACTCCGTCTCAAAAAAAACTTTTTGTTTTGTTTTTTGTTTTGTTTGTTTGTTTTAGAGACAAGGTCTCGCCCTGTTGCCCAGGCTGGAGTGTAGTTGTGCTGTCATAGCTCACTGTAGTCTCAAACTCCTAGGCTTGTGTAGTTAGTTTGAATTGGGGGTTCTTTCAGCAAGGCTCTTTGGCTCACAATCATTTCTTTTGTGTCAAGCAATAGAAGATAAATTAAGCATTTTCCCTCTCAGGATCAGACTCACATAAATATGTTAAATAAGTTTTAGAAAATTCTAAGATAAGATGCTACAGAGTCTGCCCCTGAACTTCTCTTTGACATTTGTCAGAATAAAAGTGCAAATTGAGGTTAAAATGGTCCTGGTCCTCATAAGTAAGTAATAGATATGCTGAGTGTGTGGTGGGGGGTGGAAACAGGTAATATTTATTGAACATTTACAGGCCAGGCACTGTTCTAAGAATTTTTCATATATTAACTCACTCCCCAGAATAGCACTGTGGGCCAGGCACTTTGGGAGGCCGAGGCTCGCAGATCACTTGCAGTCAGGAGTTCAAGACCAGCCTGGTGGCCGGGCGCGGTGGCTCAAGCCTGTAATCCCAGCACTTTGGGAGGCCAAGGCGGGCGGATCATGAGGTCAGGAGATCGAGACCATAGGGAAACCCTGTCTCTACTAAAAATACAAAAAATTAGCCGGGCGCGGTGGCGGGCGCCTGTAGTCCCAGCTGCTCGGGAAGCTGAGGCAGGAGAATGGCGTGAACCCGGGAGGCGGAGCTTGCAGTGAGCCGAGATCGCGCCACTGCGCTCCAGCCTGGGCGACAGAGAGAGAGACTCCGTCTCAGAAAAAAAAAAAAAGACCAGCCCGGCTAACGTGGTGAAACCCGGTTTCTACTAAAAATACAAAAATTAGCCGGACATGATGGTGCACACCTGTAATCCCAGCTGCTCAGGACGCTGAGGCAGGAGAACCGCTTGAACCCGGGAGGCGGAGGTTGCAGTGAGCTGAGATTGTGCCTTTGCACTCCAGCCTGGGCAGCAGAGCAAGACTCCAACTCAAAAAAAAAAAAAAGGCCGGGCGCGGTGGCTCAAGCCTGTAATCCCAGCACTTTGGGAGGCCGAGATGGGTGGATCACGAGGTCAGGAGATCGAGACCATCCTGGCTAACACGGTGAAACCCCATCTCTACTAAAAATACAAAAAAATTAGCCGGGCGTCGTGGCGGGCGCCTGTAGTCCCAGCTACTCGGGAGGCTGAGGCAGGAGAATGGCGTGAACCCAGGAGGCGGAGCTTGCAGTGAGCCGAGATAGTGCCACTGCACTCCAGCCTGGGCCACAGAGCAAGACTCCGCCTCAAAAAAAAAAAAAAAAAAAAGACCAGCATTCTGAGGAAGGTACTGTTATCCCCATTTTTTAGATGGGGACTGGAAAAGCAGAGATACTAGGTAACTTGTCCTGGGTTTTCATCCAGGTAGTCTGGATCATGGGCACACTCTTAATCATCCTTTAGTTCTGCTGTTGCTGTACGAGGTGACCAGAATAGGCTCCTAGGATTCCCACCATGTGGGTCCTGAAGAACTGGTCTAATGCAAACATTTTTTTTTTCTTTTTTGTGTCTTAAATGCAAACTTCTAAAAATGGCATTACTTTTTACTTGCGTTGGGTACCCAAAGGAAGTAATTGTTAATAATTCTATAAAGCAAAAAATCATTCCTAAGTTTTTAAGAAAGTTCAAGTTTTTATATATGTGTATTATGGGCCATTATTAACTCTTAGATGTGTAGATTTTTTTTCCATTTCCCCCCAAATTTAGCAATATTTTGTTTTTATCCTTTAACTTCCTTTGCTGCTAAGAATAAATAGTTTTTTGTGCAGGTATGCCCTTGTGAGTGTCAGTGCTGAGCTGTAACATGTTGTCTGAAAAAACTGCTTTTCTACATTCCTACACAGAACACTTCTTTTTTTTTTTTTTTTTTTTTGTTTTGAGACGGAGTCTTGCTCTGTCGCCCAGGCTGGAGTGCAGTGGCGCAATCTCAGCTCAGTGCAAGCTCCGCCTCCTGGGTTTATGCCCTTCTCCTGCCTCAGCCTCCCGAGTAGCTGGGACTACAGGCGCCCCGCCACCTCGCCTGGCTAGTTTTTTGTGTTTTTTAGTAGAGACCGGGTTTCACCGTGTTAGCCAGGATGGTCTCGATCTCCTGACCTCCTGATCTGCCCGTCTCGGCCTCCCAAAGTGCTGGGATTACAGGCTTGAGCCACCGCACCCGGCCAAGAACACTTCTTCCTAAACTAGATGTGTAGAGTTTCCCCTACAACAGTTTAATTCAGTTCTCCAGCAGACACCAACTGGGTGTTCTTCAACTTAATCCAATTATAGCACCATCTATCCACAGATAGTCTTAGATCCCACAAATTAAAGGGCTCAATCCCACAAGACTCTCCCCATTTCAGATGTCCGTTGAAAGACCATGCTTCCCATACTTCTGATGTACCAGTTATAAACTGGGGTTTCTATGACCTCTTTTTTTTTTTTTTTTTTTGAGACAGAATCTCTCTCTGTCTCCCAGGCTGGAGTGCAGTGGTGCGATCTCAGCTCACTGCAACCTCCGCCTTCCGGGATCAAGTGATTCTCCTGTGTCAGCCTCCCAAGTAGCTGGGATTACAGATGTGCACCACCACACCGGCTAATTTTTGTATTTTTAGTGGAGACAGGGTTTCGCCACGTTGGCCATACTGCTCTGGAACTCCTGACCTCAAGTGATCCACCTGCCTCGGCCTCCCAAAGTGTTGGGATTATGGGTGTGAGCCACCACACCTGGCCCCTCTCTTCTTGAGTTCTGTAATTTGCTAGAATGGTTCACAAAACTCAGGGACACACTGATGTTTTCTGGTTTGTTATAAAGGAGATAGATGAACAGCCAGATGAAGAGGTACATTGCGTGAGGTCTAGCAGGGTCCCAAGTACAGGAGCTTCTGTCCACATGGAGTTGGGGTGCACCACCCTCCCGGCAACCCGGAAGTTCATCAGAACTCATTGTTCAATAGATTTTTTTTTTGAAATGGAGTCTCGCTCTGTCACCAGGCTGGAGTGCAGTGGTGTGATCTCGGCTCACTGCAACCTCTGCCTCCCGGGTTCAAGCGATTCTCCTTCCTCAAACTCTCAAGTAGCTGGGACTACAGGCATGTCCCGCCACTATGCCTTTTTTGGTTTTTTTTTGGTTTTTTTTTGTTTTTTTTGGTTTTTTTTAGATAGAGTTTCGCTCTTGTTGCCCAGGCTGGAGTGCAGTGCCACGATCTCGGCTCACCGCAACCTCCACCTCCTGGGTTCAAGCGATTCTCCTGCCTCAAACTCTCAAGTAGCTGGGACTACAGGCATGTCCCGCCACCATACCTTTTTTGTTTTTGTTTTTTTTTGTTTTGAGATGGAGTTTTGCTCTTGTTGCCTAGGCTGGAGTGCAGTGCCACGATCTCGGCTCACTGCAACTTCCGCCTCCCAGGTTCAAGTGATTCTCCTGCCTCAGCCTCCCAAGTAGCTAGGATTACAGGCATGCGCCACCACGCCCAGCCAATTTTGTATTTTTAGTAGAGACGAGGTTTCTCCATGTTGGTCAGGCTGGTCTCAAACTCCCAACCTCAGGTGATCCGCCCACCTTGGCCTCCCAAAGTGTTAGGATTACAGACCTGAGCCACTGCGCCCAGCCTAAAAGACACTTCTATCAGGAAATTCGAGGGTTTTAGGAACTCTATACAAAAACCAAATATACCTGTTGGGATTCAAAACACCATACTCCAAAGTGCAGGGCTCTGGCATGCTGAGTACTCCAAACTAAAGGAGATTGGAAGGGGCTCAGAAGCAAAGTGTCTCTGCCTTCCTGCCCTCCTGTTTCTTGTCCTTCTTTCTCCCCTGGCCAGTCATAGAAACCAGAACGCTTCTTCCCAAAGGCAGGCCGTAGAAACTAGATTCCTCTCTCCCAAAGCAGGCCATCAAATCTAGAAAGGTCACTTTCTCCCTTTACCCTTTTCCCTTGAAGACCCTTATTTCAGAGGAGTCCTGCCCTATATGGCAGGAGGGTTGGGGGTGAGGAGTCTACACAGAGAGGCCAAGAAGAATCTGAATAGACAGGCCTTACTGGGTTACCCCCTTCAGTCTATTCCCATTAGGTCATACTTTGTCCAATCACATTTCTACATGGCTGTCCATTCTTCATCAAACCTAAGCATAAGAATAGTTTTCTCTGGGTCTTTCATTTCTTTTCTTTTTTTTTTTTTTAGTTTTGTTTGTTTGTTTGTTTGTTTGCGATAGGGTCTTGCTCTGTTGCCCAGGCTGGAGTGCAGTGGCATGACCTCAGCTCACTGCAGCCTCAACCTCCCAGACTCAAGCAATCCTCCCACCTTAGCCTCCCAGGTAGCTGGAACTACAGATGTGTGCCACCATGCCTGGCTAATTTTTTATATTGTTTTGTAGATACAGGGTCTTGCTATGTTGCCTAAGCTGATCTTGACCACCTGGGCTCAAGCAATCCTCTTGCTTTGGCTTTACAAAATGCTGAAATTACAGGTGTGAGCCACTGCACCTGGCCTGGGTCTTCATTTCTGAAGGCTCTGATCACGCAAGAAATTAACAAGTGTTTTAGGAGCTCTGTATAAGGAACCAGACAAAGGCCAGCTATCTATTGGACAAAGACCATATATGTCTTTCTTGTCACATGCTGTGTTTTATGTTTCTCCTCCTCAGGCAACACAGTGCTTCTCCTCATACTGTGCATGCAGCACTCCTTCCCAGAGCCCGGCAGATTGTATCTTGACCTCATTCTGGCCATCTTGGCCCTGGAACTCATCTGTTCCCTGATATGTCTCCTCATTTACACAGGTGAGAATTACAATGAGCCTGTTCTTATAGGAACCTCAAACTGCTTCCTTTCCTCCCAGTTTAAAGTATAGCCCATTATCTTAGCGACAAGGAAGTTCTCTGTGTATCTGAGTGGTGACCACATGCAGACTTCTTTAATTTCAAACCAACAGGAAGGTACAGCCACCACCTGTGAGACCCCATTCTTTTAAGATTGTGTCATTAATAAATTTTTGTCAACGCAAGTGAACCTTTTCCTTTAAAACAAGACATGTACTTTTTGGGCTGGGAAAGGTGGTTCAAGCCTGTAATCCCAGCATTTTGGGAGACTGAGGCAGGAGGATCACTTGAGCTCTGGAGTTCAAGACCAGCCTGGGCAACATGATGAAACTCCATCTCTACAAAAAATACAAAAAATTAGGCAGGTATGGTGGTGCACAACTGTGGTCCCAGCCCCTCGGGAGGCTAAAGTGGGAGGACTGCTAGAGCCTGGGAGGCAGAGGTTGCAATGAGCCGAGATCACATGCCGCACTCCAGCCTGGGTGGCAGAGTAAGACCCTGTCTGCTAAGACAACAACAAAAACATCCGCACACTTTTGCTTCTCTGAAGGCAGCTGAAATGTCAACTTGACATTTAAAATTAAAAATTAAGAAATAGGCCAGGGACAGTGGCTCATTCTGTAATCCTAGCACTTTAGGAGGCTAGCACTTTAATAGAGATGGGGTTTCGTCATGTTAGCCAGGATGGTCTCTAACTCCTGACCTTAGGTGATCTGCCCGCCTTGGCCTCCCAAAGTACTGGGATTACAGGCATGACCCACCACACCTGGTCCCAAATTTATATATTCATCTGCTTAGTGAAGTTTTCATCCACATGTCCCACAGGTACCAACAAGATCAGAATTGAACAGAACATAATTTTCTTCAAAATTTCCCTCCATCCTAACCCTCCTCTTCTAGCTCAGTTAACAATACTAGCCTGCATCCACTTGATAAATCAGAATCCTAGAAACGTAGGAGTCATCTACCTTCTTCCTTCTACCTCACTCCCCAAGAACTGGATAGGATTGGGGATCATCAGTCATCAGTCTTACTGACAGACAGTACCTGTCTTTCAGCTCTGTCTCTTTTCTTTGGTCCCTGCCACTCACTGCCTTGGTTAGGTAGGTACTCATCATCTCTTGCATGGCAGTATCCAGTAGACACATTAACAGGTCTCTTTCCCTCTGTCCACTGATTCATATTTCTTATTCCTGCCAACGTGATCTTGTTCATACTTAACTCTGATTGTTAACAACTTCCCTGCCCAGAGTTTTCTAACAGCTGAAGGAAAAAAAATCTGAAGTTTTCATGTGGCATAAAAAGCATTTTCTTTTTTTTTATTTTCTTTTTTTTTGAGACAGAGTTTCGCTCTCGTCGCCCAGGCTGGAGTGCAATGGCGCGATCTCAGCTCACTGCAACCTCCGCCTCCTGGGTTTAAAAGATTCTCCTGCCTCAGCCTCCTGAGTGGCTAGGATTATAGGCGCCTACCACCATGCCCAGCTAATTTTTGTATTTTTAATAAAGACGGCATCTCACCATGTTCGCCGGGCTGGTCTCAAACTCCGGAGGTCAGGTCATCTACCTGCCTCGGCCTCCCAAAGTGGTGGGATTACAGACATGAGCCACCATGCTGGTCCTGAAAGGTTCTCCTTGAATGGCCTCTACCTAGCCTGCTCTTCAGGGATGATGGTGAGATCCTTTCAATGACTGCTGTTTGCTCTGAGGATAAAATCTAAATGCCTTAGGCCGGGCCTGGTGACTCACGCCTGTAATCCCAGCACTTTGGGAGGCCGAGGCGGGTGGATCACCTGAGCCCAGGAATTTGAGACCAGCCTGGCCAACATGGTGAAACACCATCTCTACTGAAAATACAAAAAAATTAGCTGAGTGTGGTGGCACACACCTGTAATCCCAGTTGGGAGGCTGAGGTGGGAGAATTGCTTGAACCTAGGAGGCAGAGATGGAGGTTGCAGTGAGCCAAGGTTGGGTGACAGAGCAAGACTCTGTCTCAAAAAAAAAAAAAAAAAGTAAATGCCTTGCATGACACACCAGCCACTCCTGATGCATTCTCTGCCCACCTTCCCAACCTCACCCCTTGTCCATACACCCTCACACCCATACATACGTGTAGCTTCTCAAGACCATAGCATTTGTTCAGACTCTTCCCGCACCTGAAGCACCCTTCTTTATTCTCCTAGTCTGTGTGATTAATTCCTATATTTCTCTCAAGGATGGGCTCAAGCTCTATCCTCTTTCCCCTCTCTAATACCTCCTGTTGAGTTAGGCACTGCTTTCCAGGCCAAAAAGCAGCTTGACAACTCCTTGTGCAAGCCTCTTGCACAAGCTTCTGTTGAAGGTACTTTCCATACTGTCTTAGAATGTCGGCTTATTATCTCTGTTTTCCCCTGGACCAGAGGAAGTCATGATTTCTGAATTAGATGGCTGACTGGTTGCTCAACTTCTCTGGGCTTCACTGGGGGGTAATAAGTGCATCCACTTCATGCAGGTGGTTATGAGAACTGAATGAGGGCATCCATGTAAAACATTTAAACTGTGCCTCGTGTGTTCTAAGTGCACAATAAATGTCAGCTATTATTGCTATTTTCAATACTAATGCAATCCCTGTATTCGCAGGGCTTAGAACAGGCCTGGCACATAGTAGACTTTGAAATATTCGAGGACGTTAGTAAGAACAGCAAATTAGCATAATTTGAAAAAATGAAACTACACTTGTTTTTCAGAATTCGATCTAATAATGACTTTATTATTTTAGTGAAAATCCAGAGATTTAATAAAGCTAAACCAGAGCCTGATATACTTGAGGAAGAAAAAATCTATGCTTACCCCAGCAATATTACCTCGGAGACTGGATTCAGGTAAGATGTAGGTAAGAAATAAAATAATTGAGTTTTTTCCTCTAGAAAGCTAGAAACCATTCTGATGCTTGGAATTTGTGATCGTGTATTTGTACTTTTACATTTGTTTGATTTGTTTATTTCCTTTCAGCTGTATGAAATCAAGTCTAAATCAGGATATGTAAATGTATTAAACAGGCCATATATTTGATGCAAAAGTAAGATTAAACACTTAGCCAACCTACTTAACCTCTAAAGAGCTTTTGATGTCATTAACTGGATTAACTGGTTACTCCCTCCTTGAAGCACCATTTTTTTTTTTTTTTTTTCTCTTTTTTTGAGACAGAGTCTTGCTCTGTCCCCCAGGCTGGAGTGCAGTGGTGCAATCTCGGCTCACTGCAAGCTGCGCCTCCCGGGTTCACGCCATTCTCCTGCCTCAGCCTCGCGAGTAACTGGGACTACAGGCTCCCGCCACCACGCCCGGCTAATTTTTTTTGTATTTTTAATAGAGACGGGATTTCACCGTGTTAGCCAGGATGGTCTCGATCTCCTGACCTCGTGATCCGCCCGCCTCGGCCTCCCAAAGTGCTGGGAATACAGGTGTGAGCCACCGCGCCTGACCAAAGCACCTTTTTTTATAGGTGTCTTTGTTTTTTTCTTTTTTTTCTTTTTTTTGAGATGGAGTTTTGCTCTTGTTGCCCAGGCTGGTGTGCAATGGCATGATCTTGGCTCACTGCAACCTCCACCTCCCAGTTTCAAGCGATTCTCTTGCCTCAGCCTCCCCAGTAGATGGGATTATAGGCATGCGGCACCACACCTGGCTAATTTTGTATTTTTAGTAGAGATGGGGTTTCTCCATGTTAGTCAGGCTGATCTCGAACTCCTGACCTCAGGTGATCCGCCAGCCTCGGCTTCCCAAAGTGCTGGGATTACAGGCATGAGCCACTTTGCCTGGCCTGTTTGTTTCTTTTTAAGGGATGGAGTCTCTCTATGTTGCCCAGGCTGGCCTCAAACTCCTGGGCTCAAGCAATCCTCGCACTTTAGCCTCCCGAACAGCCAGCCCGGTCTGCCCTCCCTTGTTTCTATACAGTCTCTCCCTAAGTGACTTCCATGGCAATTAAAATATCATTCACATCTGTTGGAGATCTTGGGGCTAAAGTAGATGTAAAAAACTATACAGGCCCGTGTGGTGGCTCACGCCTGTGATCTCAGCACTTTGGGAGGTCAAGATGGGTGGATCACTGAAGCCCTGGAGTTCAAGACCAGCCTGGGCAACATGCCAAAACCCTGTCTCTGCAAAAGTACAAAAAATTAGCCAAGTGTGGTGGCAGGCACCTGTGGTCCCAGCTACTCAAGAGACTGAGGTGAGAGGATTGATTGAGCCCAGGAGATTGAGGCTACAGAGAGCCACTGCACTCCAGCCTGGGCGACAGAGTGAGACCCTGACTCAAAAAACAAAATTATATAAACCAAAAACGAGGTGATTATTAATTCTAGGTAAATCAGAAGGCTGATTTACATGGCTTAACTCTAGCTAATATTTAGCCAACTGTTCCATATTTATTTAACTGTGACTAATATCTACATAGTGATATTGCAGATTCTGAATATTGATTTAACTCAAAATTGGAATATTGCTTACTGGATTAAGAGGCTACAAGAAAGAAGACATTAAATTTATACGTATATGGATTTGGGGAAAGTAAGAGAGCTAAATTCTAATTTCTTATATAGGAAGTCTGCAGATAAATAGCAAAACTGGAAAAATCAAGAAATTGTACAATCTCATTATTTGGAAATACAGAGAGAAATATAGAAAAAACAGTTACAAAGAGTTGAAAGTGGCTACCTTTGGACCTGAAACTCAGAGGTGGTGGATCATGAGGAGCGAGGGAGGGAATTGTTGTTTTTCATTGTGAACCTTTTTTTTTTTTAAACTCTGTATGAGTATTAAGTGGATATAAACAACAACAGAAAAATAGATCCATAAATATGCTGCTGACTCCTAAACATTTATCTCCAAGTGTGTATTTCCCCTGTGGTCCAGATTTGTGTATCTGACTTTCTCATTAGCCATCAGCATCTCCAGTTGGATGTCTGCAAACTTAACGTGTCCAACACAGAGCCCTCTCCCAACTCAAATTCAACCTTCTCCCCACCCCATCTTGGGAAGTAGCATCACTCTTCAACAGGTTGCCCAGGCCAGAAAGCTGGCATCATCCTTGACTTCTGTTTCCTTCACCCCACCTCCACCCAGATAACCCATCAGCTAGTCCTGTTGGATCTGTCTCTAAAATAATAATCTGGCCGGGTGCAGTGGCTCACACCTATAATCTCAGCTACTTGGGAGGCTGAAACAGAAGAATCACTTGAACCCGGGAGGTGGAGGTTGAGGTGAGCCAAGATCGCACCACTGCACTCCAGCCTGGGTGACAGAGTGAGACTTTGTCTCTAAATAAATAAATTAATTAAAATAAAATAATAATCCAACCACTGCTCTCTACCTCCACTGCCACTAACATCTCTCACCTGGATGTGCAGGAGTCTCCTTACTGGTCACCCTACTCCCATCTTCCCCTGCAGTCCCTCCGATGGCCTCTACTTTGCCCAATCCAGAGTGAACTGACTCTTGGTCCTTGTGTTTGCCTCTCAATGGCAGTGGGCACAGTTAACCACTGCCTGTTCCTTGAAATGCTTCCCTGGGCTCTCCTGGTTTCCTTGCCGGCCCTTCCTTTTTCAGTCTCTTTATTCTGCTTCCCTTCGCCTTCCAGACTCCTAAAGATTGGTGTGCCCAAAGCTCAGACTTCAGACCTCTTTTCTTCTTTATCTGCGTCACGTCTGTGGTTCTTTTTTTCTTTCTTTTTTTTCTTTTTTTTTGTTTTGAGAAGAGTCTCACTCTGTTGCCCAGGCTGGAGTGCAATGGCACGATCCCGGCTCACTGCAACCTCTGCCTTCCAGGTTCAAGCGATTCTCTAGCCTCAGACTCCCGAGTAGCTGGGACTACAGGTGCCCGCCACCACTAGTTTTTTGTATTTTTTTAGTAGAGACGGGGTTTCACCGTGTTAGCCAGGATAGTCTCGATCTCCTGACCTCGTGATCCGCCCGTCTCGACCTCCCAAAGTGCTGGGATTACAGGCTTGAGCCACTGCGCCCGGCCAGAAAATACAACCTTTTTTGTCACTTTTCACCTACCATGATCTGCCTTCTTATTTTGTTTACTCTTTTTCTTCATTCTATCCTAAATAGAGGAATAACTTTAGTATCAATTCTTGATTATCTCTTTGTTAACTTTTGGGCTTATTAAATTCAGAGACTGGTCTTCCTGACCTTGACCCTTTTCATATTTCGTCTTGTTCTCCCTGAGCACTGAAGAGTTTACCTAATATTGCTCTCTTATGACTTAATGGAAAACTTTAAAATGTATTCCCTTCACCTCATGGGGTTAACATGGGGGCAATAAAATTCAGTTTATGCCGGACGTGGTGGCTCACACCTGTAATCCCAGCACTTTGTGAGGCTGAGGCGGGTGGATCACCTGAGGTCAGTTCAGACCAGCCTGGTCAGCATGGTGAAACCCCATCTCTGCTAAGTATACAAAAATTAGCTGGGCGTGGTGGTGGGCGCCTGTAATCCCAGCCACCCAGGAGGCTGAGGCAGGAGAATCTCTTAAACCCAGGAGGCGGAGGTTGCAGTGAGCGGAGATCACGCCACTGCACTCCAGCCTGGGTGACAGAGCTAGACTGTGTCTCAAAAAATAATAATAATAGTAACGTGGTTACATAGCCCATTCCTGTAACCACATTATTTATAAGCATAACTATTTCTAAGAATAAATCTTTTTTGTTCACATGGGACCATTCCCATGTGATATTTTTCATAGTGAATTTCACACCATCCCTTGAAATATTTCCCTTTTAGCACATATAGAATATCTGAGTAAAACACATCCAATAACATTTTATTTCTTGAATAGGCAATTTTTAGTCAACATTAAAATTTATCTGGCATATTACTGTCATTATCATTATCATCATCACTATTCCTAGTACTAATATCTTAAATTAGTGGAAGGAAATTAAAAACACTCGCCAGGCACAGTGTCTCACGCCTGTAATCGCAGCACTTTGGGAGGCCAAGGTGGGCAGATCACGAGGTCAGGAGATCGAGACCATCCTGGCTAACATGGTGAAACCCCATCTCTACTAAAAATACAAAAAATTGGCTGGGCATGGTGGCAGGCGCCTGTAGTCCCAGCTACTTGGGAGGCTGAGGCAGGAGAATGGCGTGAACCCGGGAGGCGGAGCTTGCAGTGAGCCGAAATCGTGCCACTGCATTCCAGCCTGGGAGACAGCGAGACTCTATCTCAAAAGGAAAAAAAAAAAGAAATATAAAAACACTTTATAGCTATTACTTCTGAGCAATGAGACCAAAGTGGGTTGGGGCAGTAGTGTAGGAAGGAGTTAGATTTTTTGTTTGTTTTATATACTTATATAGTATTTTTATTTGTGTCAAGTGCAAAAAGATACATGTTTGTGGTATGGGAGAAAAAAGGAGAAATGCAAAAAGAAACAAATGCCATATATTTAAAAAATTGTTTCTCATGATCAGAGTTGTCTATTTTAATCGTCATTTGATTATTGAATGAATTTTGCCTTTACTTATCTTTAAATGCCATTTAAGTTGATCACTTATACTCAATTATCTTACTCTAACAAATTAGGATCTTTCTTAAATAAAGCAATGATGGCCCTTTTTAAAACGTAGAGTTGTGAAAGTTTATAACATTTTAAATTTATTTCAAGAGTAGAAGTTACTAATATGATTTAGGAAAATATTCTTATTTGGTAATATTGCCCTGGCTTCTGACATCTAAGAAAAGGTAACAAATACAATATTCTTTACTAAAAACTCATAGGTACTCGTTTGCAAAGACACTAATGAGTATTGGGGAATATGTGTAACCCGTTTATATCTTGATTATTTGCAGGACTATTTCAGGCCTAGAAGAAATTGTTGAAAAGCAAGGAGACACCATTGAATACCTGAAGCGACACAATGCGCTGCTGAGTAAGCGGTTGTTGGCTCTCACTTCCTCAGACCTGGACGGCCAGCCAAGTAGAACGTGAGAGGCTCGTGGTCATGACAGCAATTGCAGAGGAACCCAGAGTCATTCAGACTGCTTGACCACCTGACAGGCTGCCACAGGGAACTGCAGTTCACAGTGTTTGCTGGAAAGCTGAATTTGGTTCTGACTTCTGTGGCTGTTTAAAATATAGGGCTTGTAGGTCACTTGAAAAGTACCTGTAGAAGCCCGGGTAACTTGAGGGCAATGTCTGTTTTGTACTTTTGGAAAGTATTTAACTGTTTGGTTTATCCTAGAATCAGAGGCTAAACAACTCCATAGTCAACACTTTTCCACCTCACATTAGAACCCTGTAATGATTTCATTATGGATAGGGGAAGTCTAACAAGACAATCGATTTTAAAGAGGGTTTTAATCAAATAAGTTCTTCCCACTTTTAAGCTGATGAAAGAAGTCATTATTTCTTGTGAATGTTTTTCCTGGAGAGCCTTATCATGTATTATATATGCTTATGTGGTGGTGGATGACATCATGGACCATGTAGCTTTTATAGAGAATTTTCTCACCATAGAACTGAGGTCTCACCAGATGATCTACTATGCAAACTTCTACAGTTTTCTATTCTTAAGAAATAAGGGCCGGGCGCGGCAGATCACAAGGTCAGGAGATCGAGACCATCCTGGCTAACACGGTGAAACCCCGTCTCTACTGAAAATACAAAAAAATTAGCCGGGCATGGTGGTGGGTGCCTGTAGTCCCAGCTACTCCGGAGGCTGAGGCAGGAGAACGGTGTGGACCCAGGAAGCGGAACTTGCAGTGAGCCAAGATCGCGCCACCGGACTCCAGCCTGGGTGACACAGCGAGACTCCATCTCAAAAAAATAAAAATAAAAATAAATAAGATATGATGATTGATTACTTGGACCAGTGTTAGACAAACCTGTGTTGCCTCTTATATTGGCAGCACCTTCCATTAGCAATAGCTGAAAAATTCAGAGAAGAATTTAGAACTTTCACTTTATTTTTGCCATTCTTCAAGAAGCTACTGTATATTTCAGTCTGGTTATACCTTCAATTGATCAATAACTTCAATTATAGGAAAGGCATCTTCTGTAATTTTGAATTGCTATAAAAAAAAGATACCTTTTAAAGCCTTAGATTATACTTAAAAAATGTAATGGATAAAATGCGTATTAAGTTATATGCAGATATTAAACATATCTGATTCTCAAGATAAAAATGAAGTATTTTTCAGAGCAAATGGCATTATTTCTCCATTTTTCCTAGTATGCCCCTTTAATTCGTCAATTTGTTATTAACTCTGGTATATGCTGCCTTAGAAAGACTTTTGGCTGAATATGAAGGAAGGGGATATTTGTGACTGTATTCATCTTTTTTGATCATTAGCTGAATATTCAATATTTGATATGTAACTATATAGGGATGTGTTCGATATAATTGTATAGGCAAGGGATATATTGATTTGGCCACATCTGTTTGATTTATGGAGGACAAATACCTGTTTATTTTAGATACAGCCATTGCTGGGGCATTCTAAAAGTTTTCTACTAAGATAAAGATGATTGCTCATGCCTGTAATCTTAGCTACTCAGGAGGCTGAGGCAGGAGGATCACTCGAGGCCAGGAGTTTGAGACCAGCCTGGGCAACAGTGAGACACTGTCTCTCAGGAAAAAAAAAAAAAAGATTGTTTATCACCTGCACACAACATTCACAAACTAAAGCCAAAATGTATTTTTAAAATTGTCTTTCTCCTTTCCTTTTTTCTTGATTTTTTTGTTTTTGAGACAGAGTCTCATCTTGTCGCACAGGCTGGAGTGCAATGGTGCCTGCCTTCCTTCCTTTCTTTCTTTTTTTTTTAGACAGAGTCTCGCTCTGTCGCCCAGGTCTGTCACCCAGGCTGGAACACAGTTGCATGATCTCGGCTCACTGCAACCTCTGCCTCCCGGGATTAAGAAATTCTCCTACCTCAGCCTCCTGAGCAGCTGGGATTAGATGCACATGCCACCATGCCCGGCTAATTTTTGTATTTTTAGTACAGACAGGGTTTCACCATGCTGACCAGGCTGGTTTCAAACTCCTGACCTTGTGATCTGCCCTCCTTGACCTCCCAAAGTGTTGAGATTACAGGTGTGAGCCACTGTGCCCAGCCTTCCTTTCTTTTTGATAAGTGTATCTCAAAGCCATTGCCTTCTCTAAAAATCTGTTTCTCTGTTCTGAAAGAGCCTATAAACTTTGCCTTCAGTTGTTTTTCTTTTCAAAAGGGAATACCAGTGGTAGATGATTAACTCTTATTTATTTTTAAAATTTAATTTGCATCTCTAGTCAGTTTCTGAGATTTATGGGATGAACTTTGTTTACAAGGAACAGTGTAGTTAAAAAGTTAGGGTGCCCATATTCTCATGTAATCATCAACGTGTTTGTTGTATAATCATCAACATTTTTCTGAATGCAATAATGAACTTTTCAAACAGTAAATGAAAATGAAACTAAGTATCAGAAGTAGCAAAACAGCCGGTGCAGTGGCTCACACTCGTAATCCCAGCACTTTGGGAGGCTGAGGCGGGTGGATCACCTGAGGTTAGGAGCTCAAGACTAGCCTGGCCAACATGGTAAAATACCATCTTTACTAAAAATACAAAATAAGCCGGGCATGGTGGCACGTGTCTGTAATCCCAGCTACTCAGGAGGCTGAGGCAGGAGAATCGCATGAACACAGGAGGCAGAGGTTGCAGTGAGCTGAAATTGCGCCACTGCATTCCAGCCTGGGCAACAGCTAGACTCCATCTCAAAAAAAAAAAAAAAAAAAAAAAAGTAACAAAACAGAAAAACGAACAAAACAATTTAAATGTTAAATGTTCTATTCACCAGGCTGGTAATTGTGCTAGCACTGAGAATACAAAAATTAAAGACTCTGGTGGGCAGCTTACATTCTAAAGAGAGCGAGGAATAGATTTCCAGACTCCGTGCTAAGTGCAGTAATGACAGTAGGCCCAACATCCTGTAGGAGCTCCACTTCAGGGGGTACCCTGAGGGCAAGAGGGTAGAGGGTTTTAAGAATGCCAGACAAAACAATGAGTAAAGTAGGAAGGCAAATAGCTACAAAATAGCACAAGCACTGTGTGTAGCTGGAACCAAAAATGTGAGGCAGACCTGGGTGAAGAGGTAGACAGGGTCAGAGCTTGGATGGCCTTGATACTATGCTGGAACCACACTTTATCTTGTTGATAATGGGATCCTCTGAAGCATTTCAAGCAAGGAAGTGACAACGTCAGTTTTAGTTTCAGGAGGATCAGATCGTAGTTCAGTATGGAAGAAATATGTGTGGCAGAAAGATATGGCCCTGAACTAGGGAAGGTATAGTAAACCTTTTATTATAAGTATGTATGTGTATAGGTAGGTAGGTAGGTAGGTAGGTAGGTAGATAGATAGATAGATAGATAGAGGTGTATGTGTATGTATTCCAAATGACAACAGTATCATGACTTATTATAAAGTTAAAAGCTCATTTTTTAAAATGGCAATATGGAAAAATACAAAGCAAAACAGTTATTTGAAATCTCACTACCAAGGAATTATACCAATGTACCCCCTTTTTTTTTTTTTTTTTTTTTAAGTCTCACTCTGTCTCCCAGGCTGGAGTGCAGCAGTGTGATTCCGGGCTCACTGCAACCTACTCCTGCTGGGTTCAAGCAGTTTTCCTCCCTCAGCCTCCCAAGTAGCTAGGACTACAGACGCATGCTACTATTTTTTAGTACGAAAATACTAAAAATTTGGGCTGGGTGTGGTGGCTTACGCCTGTAATCCCAGCACTTTGGGAGGCTGAGGTGGGTAGATCATGAGGTCAGGAGTTCGAGACCAGCCTGGCCAAGATGGTGAAACCCCACCTCTACTAAAAATACAAATATCAGCCAGGTGTGGTGCAGGGCGCCTGTAATCCCAGCTACTCAGGAGGCTAAGGCAGGAGAATCGCTTGAGCCTGGGAGGTGGAGATTGCAGTGAGCCAAGATGGTGCCACTGCACTCCAGCCTGGTGACAGAGCAGAGCGAGACTCCATCTCAAAAAAAAAAAAAAAAAAAAAAATGTATTTCTAGTAGAGACAGGGATTCACCATGTTGGCCAGCTGATCTTGAACTCCTGACCTCAAGTGATCTACCTGCTTTGGCCTCCCAAAATGCTGTGATTTTAGGCATGAGCCAGCTCACCTGGTCTCCATACTCTTACTAATAGTGGGTGTTATCTTATTTAAGTCTTGACCCATCTGATGACTATGTCATTGTCTCAAATTGCATTTCTGTGGATACTAATGAAGTGTTAAACATTTTTTCCAAGTTATTTGGTCTTTTATAAATCTTTTATGACATGTATATTCAAGTCCTTTGCTTATTATTGTCCTGGGATATTCTTTTTCTTAACAAATAGAATCTTCTGGCCAGGCATGGTGGCTCACACTTGTAATCCCAGCACTTTGGGAGGCTGAGGCAGGTGGATCACTTGAGGTCAGGAGTTTGAGACCAGCCTGGCCAACCAGTGAAACCCTGTTTCTACAAAAAAAAAAATTAAGGCCGGGCGCAGTGGTTCATGCCTATAATCCCAGCACTTTGGGAGGCCGAGGTGGGCAGATCACAAGGTCAGGAGTTTGAGACCAGCCTGACCAATATCGAGAAACCCCGTCTCTACTAAAAATACAAAAATTAGCTGGGTGTGGTGACACGCACCTGTAATCCCAGCTACTCAGAGGCTGAGGCAGGAGAATCGCTTGAACCCGGGAGGCAGAGGTTGCAGTAAGCCAAGATTGCACCACTGCACTCCAGCCTGGGTGACAGAGTGAGACTCCATCTCAAAATAAATAAATAAATAAAATAAAAATAAAAATTAGCTGGGCGTGGTGGCAGGTTCCTGCAGTCCAGCTACTCAGGAGGCTGAATCAGGAGAATCACTCAAACCTGGGAGGCGGAGGTTGCAGTGAGCCAAGATCGCACCACTGCACTCCAGCCTAGATGGGCAGAGGGAGACTATGTCTCAAAAAAAAAAAAAAAAAAAAACTATATATATATATATATATATATATATATAAAATCTTCCTTTACATGTTAAAGATAGTCCCAGTGTTTGTTAGAAATACATCCTAGTTTGTTGTTTTGGGTTCTTTTGTCATTTACTGTTTAAACACTGCAGCCTGGATTCTTCCTCCCCCAGCACTAGTGAAAATTTTACACTAACGAATCACCAGAGCCACATTGGATATATATATTTTTTCATTTTTTGGAGACAGAGTCTTGTTCTATCCCCCAGGCTGTGCAGTGGCATGCTCTTGGCTCACTGCAACCTCTGCCTACCAGGTTTAAGCAGTTCTCATGCCTCAGTCTCCCAAGTAGCTAGGATTACAGGTGCCTGTCACCAAACCTGGCTAATTTTTGTATTTTTAGTAGAGACAGGGTTTCACTGTGTTGGCCAGGCTGGTCTCGAACTCCTGACCTCGTGATCCACCTGCCTCTGCCTCCCAAAGTGCTGGGATTGCAGGCGTGAGGCACAGCACCTGGCTGGGATTGGATATCTTCTTGTCATGGGAGAGCTGCCAGTGGCTTGAGTGAATTTTAGCATATCCAGGCTTCTGCCATAGGCCCTCTTTCTTCTTCCCGGGATCCAAACAAAAGTCTTATTTAAGTCAAGTTAATCCTTTCTCTTTTTTTATTTTTCCCCAAATTTCTCTAAGACAAGGTTTTTCAACCCCAGTCCTACTGACATTTTGGGTTGAACAATTCTTTGTTGGGGGAGGGGTGTCTCTCCTGTGCACTGTAGGATGTTTAATAGCATCCCGGTTACTAGGATGCTCTTGGAATCTCGTGACAACCAAAAGTGTCTCCATACACATGCATTTAGTTTACTTTGATTTAACACTTAACATCTGAGAGCTGACGGTGTGCCGGAAAGTATTCCAGGTGCTGTGAATTCCGGGGTCAAGAGGACAGAAACGATGCCTGTTTTCATGGTATCTACATTTTAATGGTGGTGGTTGGTGGTGGGGAGTGGAAGGAGGAGTTAACACCATAGACAAATAAGCCAACTATTGGGTTTGATAAATTCAGTTGTTCTTCTCTAAATTAGACCTTGTGTTAATATGGCTGAGGTGTATGGTATGATAAGGCTCATGGGAAAAAAATTGATCTTTATGCTTTAACCATTCAGAAAGTCAATGGCAAATGAATTTTATATTTTCCTTTTCCTGTTCTTTTTACAGAAAAGGCTAGAAAGGCATGCCCTTTAACAAGTCTGTCCGTTTCAGATATTTTAGTGATCTCAGTCTGAACTGAGATGCTTTTATAAATCTTGAATACAAAACTCACAGGTAAGCTCTTGAGTTCTTGAAGAATCAAACTTAGAATATGTGACAATCACAAATTTAAGATTTGAAAACATTCCCTAGGTTTCCTAAGGAATATTGTTTCATTCGTAAACCAGGGAAGTCCATCTCTAATTCTTGTCCCCTCCTCTCTATCCAGTCTCACTCTTCACTCTACTACTCTACTGAAACTGTTCTTGGTAAGGTCACCAATAACTTCCTTCCACATTGCTTAAGTTGGAGATGAATGCATAGGTCTCCTCTTTTAACTTATCAGCAACACTTGGCTCAGTTGATTGACTGGGGCCTGCCCCTCCACACCTGTG